TGTCTGACATGCACACAATACAATGAGGAATAACAAAACAAATATAGTGAGTTTGACAAAGTGGTAACAATTGGTGTTTTTAATGTATGTGGTACTGTACAGTAAACAAATGCAGTGCTGTACTGTCTGACATGCACACAATACAATGAGGAATAACAAAACAAATATAGTGAGTTTGACAAAGTGGTAACAATTGGTGTTTTTAATGTATGTGGTACTGTACAGTAAACAAATGCAGTGCTGTACTGTCTGACATGCACACAATACAATGAGGAATAACAAAACAAATATAGTGAGTTTGACAAAGTGGTAACAATTGGTGTTTTTAATGTATGTGGTACTGTACAGTAAACAAATGCAGTGCTGTACTGTCTGACATGCACACAATACAATGAGGAATAACAAAACAAATATAGTGAGTTTGACAAAGTGGTAACAATTGGTGTTTTTAATGTATGTGGTACTGTACAGTAAACAAATGCAGTGCTGTACTGTCTGACATGCACACAATACAATGAGGAATAACAAAACAAATATAGTGAGTTTGACAAAGTGGTAACAATTGGTGTTTTTAATGTATGTGGTACTGTACAGTAAACAAATGCAGTGCTGTACTGTCTGACATGCACACAATACAATGAGGAATAACAAAACAAATATAGTGAGTTTGACAAAGTGGTAACAATTGGTGTTTTTAATGTATGTGGTACTGTACAGTAAACAAATGCAGTGCTGTACTGTCTGACATGCACACAATACAATGAGGAATAACAAAACAAATATAGTGAGTTTGACAAAGTGGTAACAATTGGTGTTTTTAATGTGTGTGGTACTGTACAGTAAACAAATGCAGTGCTGTACTGTCTGACATGCACACAATACAATGAGGAATAACAAAACAAATATAGTGAGTTTGACAGAGTGGTAACAATTGGTATTTTTAATGCATCGGTCTTGGAAAGCAATTTTTCAACCAAATGAAGATTTGAAAATTTAAATACGCTTTGTGACTTGCTTGAAAGTGAAATTATTGCAATCGTACAGATGCACTGAAACCAAGTATATTGCAGTTGTATAATGTCGTGTTTTTTCTTCTTAGTAAAAAGAAGTATCCTCCAACTAAAGACTTGCCTGAAGGTTATCGTAAACGAATTCTGGTAAGAAGCTGTTGTTAAACTCAGTCCCATATATACACATAATAAGATGAGAACATTCCACAGGATCCAATGGCCGACACTAGGGGTGGCGAAAGGGAGGAGGGATTCTATCATTAAATGACGTCACAACTTTCAAGAGTGGAACGCTTATAGATAACTTCCGCTTTATTTTAAAATATAGCAATTAGCATTAAAATGACCCCAGAAATGTTCACGATACATAATAATTTTACTCCGGTTGTGACGTCACGCATACCCAACGATGGATGTGCATATCCAAGATGGTGGAATGCATAAGTATTTCGTTTCAAATGAAAGGTAATATCTGCTATACCAAGAACGATAAAGGAAATCTGCAATAAAATTTTGAAATTTATTGAATCACTCTTTCGATAACTCATTTCTATTCCCTTATAAACGAGTACAAATATTAAACAACTTGTAGAAATTATTGAAGGATATAGATTTTGTTGTTTTGTTGTCGTATCTAGAGCAATATGCCTAGAACTTCAACTTTGGGCCTCCCTGAGTCCTCAAAGGAGTTACGCCAGGGAGAGCATTGTAGAACTGATAGGTATATGAACCAATTTTCCATTTCTCACGAAACGGCGCAGCAAATCAAAGCGCCTGGGGACGAGGCTGTATACGAATAAAGTTAGTTTTAGTTTAATTAGTACACTCGGCGTGTTCAATTGGTAAATTTAATTTTGTTTTCTGTAGATCACAGGAGGAGCTGGTTTTGTTGGTTCACACTTGACGGATGCTCTTATGATGGCAGGTCACGAGGTTTGTGAGAAACATTGTATAAGAAGTATCCGTATTCGAGAAATTGTAAGCTTGGCCATTCCCCAAATCTCTTTGGCAAAAAGGGGGGTGTGCAAGGCGGGGGAGGGGATTTCCTTATAAAATCCATATTCGAGCACCCTAACCACAATCAGGCCTTTCAATCCTGCCGTTCTATAAAACACTGCTGCACACAGCTCCTGTACAATAGTAATTATACACTTGATCAACAGTGTCAGTCGCACCCGAACCATCACCATACCTTCCTGCTAGACCTGGCTGAATCCATCCACGTTATCGCACCCTCTATACTGATTTTATCTTGCATGTTTTTATCTATTGTGGCAACCGGCTTCAATTGGTGATTTTCCACATGTAACTACTGTTTCTAACTACTGTTTTAGGTGACCGTGGTAGACAATTATTTCACTGGTCGCAAGCGAAATGTGGAGCACTGGTAAAGATCTTGTAAATTCTAATTTATTTTAAGTCACGTTTACAAATTGCGACTTGTCCGACTGATTTCAGATTTTTAATCTAAGACTACGTTTACACCACGCCAGAGCGAAATAATGACGACACTTTTTACGTCTGTTCACACTAAACCGTTAGGGGCGGACCATTTGACTTTTGAGGGGGGGGGGGCCGGAAGATTCAGACTGTGCAAGAATTTTTTCCCGCCCAGGCGAACAAGTCAGATCTTTTTTTCCTGTAAAAGTGCAGCGCACGATATTTTCCCCAATATATTTCGCGGCAGGATATTTTTTTGCTTCTCATAATAATGGCTTACAGTAACTTAAGGCTTTCTTATTTTTCACCCGTTTAATAATCACCTGCAATGTCTCTGTCTAATATTCACCTGCAATGTCTTTGCAGCACAAAAAATGAGAAAAAATAACATAACGAAGGCAATATGGCAGTAAGAATTATTTCTATTCTGACTCATTAACGCGACCTCGCAATGTGAAAAATAAGTACGTTATACATATAGCTATCGTCAGAGAGTAGCTGAGTTTTTCAGTCAGAGGAGGCCGAGAAAATCCCAAGAGGGGCCAAGGAATTTTCACTGTGCTTTATTTTATATGTCTTACTGTTCCTAAAGCGTGTAAGTTTACTTACAAAAAATGTATAACTGCACCAAACCCCAGCTATCAAACTGCAAATCTAACATAACAGTTACTTGGTATTATGGTAAACAAAGAACACTCCTATTCCAGGGAAAGGAAGGGTATTTGCTGAAAGACGTTTTAATAAAATTTTGTGAAGCGAACTCTACGTTAAAGTACTCAGAACCTCAAGCGTCGCCTAAGCAAGCTGATTGCTATGAAGTGGTTTGCACTGTAACTGCGTCCGTTGAAAGAACTATTACACCTAACGCAGAGAATTTAACCAACTTGTCTAATATCGATGACTTAAGTAATATATCTCAGTCAGATGCTCTATTTAATATATCCAAAATCGATGATATACTAACAAGCTCTGATGCTTCTACTATAAAGGAACTTGAGGGCTTTATCGACAGGTCATTTTGTAGTGCTTTTGGGCTGCCTGATTTTGCCCAACCGACGGACATGTCTACTCCATCTAACCGACAAACTGATGGAAATCTAGCCAAACTTGAATCACAATTTTTCACGTTTAAGGAAAGTGTTGAGGCACAGCTGCAAAATTTATCTTATAAACTCTCTGAGCAGAATAACATCATTAAGTCAAATAAACAAGAACTATGCAAATTAAACTGTGAAAATTTGCATTTAAAATCATGTATCTCAGAGTTAGAAGTGAAATTGCTGTCAACGAATACATCAAATACGAACTGTAGTTTGGATCTGGAAAGTCTAATGGTTAAAGAAAATGCTTTCCCAACTGTAAATGCTGATGTCTGTATTACTTCTAGTGGCTGTTCACCTGAAACTAATAACAGTCATGAAAACGTTAATCAACCAACCGTGGACTCTGACCTTGACCCTCCAGTGTCCGAAATGAATAATCACTCAAAGGAATCCATTGAAGCAGTACAGCTCTCAATTTCTGTTACCAAGGAACGAGCAGCTACCCCAATCACTCAAGCGACCAATGATAACAGCAATATAGAACCAAATGTTGGAAAATCTTTCGTCTTAGCATGCACCTCCACAACGGAACAATATCGAATGGTTAGGTCGCTTACCGTTGATTGAAACACTAAACCAGGCTAACCAAACTTCGTTCTGCAACACTAAAAGTAGAAGTATTAGTGTTTTTAAAAACCGCGACACCGAGTATTATAAAGGTTGTCAGACAAATTCAAAGCCTTTAACTTCACCAAGGCATAATAACATACGTAATTCCCCTGGTCGACCCCCTTTTTTAAAACGTCAGAACATCAAACCACCATCATATCGAACATCTCATCGTCATCACTCACTAGAGTGGTTGATCCATCTGGATGTGGTGTACCGCATGATGAGACAATGAGAATACCAGTCAGAATCACCTCGCGCTACCATACACAGAATATGACTCAAAATGGACCAAATTTTCGAATCTAGTAAATATTCAAATTGTAAACTCTAGGGAAAAGACCCTAACTGCGATAACAAAAGAACATGTTCCAAAACCGCTTTCGGATATGCAAAGATCGAAACTTAGAATTGCTCACCTAAGTGTTCGCTCAATTAAGAATAGGAATCATCTTATACAGGTTCGAGAACTTATGAAGGACAGGAACTATGATATTTTAGCCTTGTCAGAGTCGTGGTTAAACTCCACGGTGACAAACGCGGAAGTAGAAATCGAGGGCTTTAAACTAACAAGATTGGACCGTTTGGGAAAGACTGGAGGGGGTGTTTGTGTCTATTCTAAATCGTCGATTAAAGTCAAACGTCTCAAAAACATAACAGGGATATCTGAATTCGGATTTCATCAGCTATGGATGCTAATACAACTCAGGAAACTAAGATCAATTCTCCTCTGTGTGACATATAGGCCTGATTATTGTCCTACTTCAACCTTTCATGATATTTTCATGGAAAATTATATACATGCTCTCACATTAGGAAAAGAGATAATTGTTGTAGGCGATTTAAATTGTGATTTGCTGAAACCGGATTCTCCAGAGGCTATGTCGCTACTAGATTTTTGTACAAGTGTGAATCAAACTCAATTGATAAAAGAACCTACACGAGTAACAGAAACGTCATCTTCCCTTATTGATATTATTATGACGTCGAATGTCAGTTTAGTAGAAAATCATGGGGTTGCTTTATCTCACATTAGTGATCACTATCTAATATATGCTTCTTTGAAACTTAAGATGTTGAAGCCGCCACCTAGTTATAAATGTGTGAGATCCTACAAAAACTACAAACCTGATAGTTTCCTCGCGGATTTACAACGAATACCTTGGTACGATATTTCCATCATGGATGATGCAAATGTAATGCTAGACCATTTCAATGAGAGGTTTCTCCATGTACTGGAAACACATGCACCTGTGAAAACAGTGAGGATTAAACACCGCAGCTGCCCCTTTATTAGCACAGAAATTCGCGAACTTATGCAATACAGAAATAACCTATTGAAAACGGCTCGAAGTACTAAATTAACAACAGACTGGGAAATGTATCGTAAACTAAGAAAAGAAGTAAAATCCAAACTGAGAGATGCCGAAAGGGAATATGTACGGAAAGAACTAGAGCACAGTCACAACACTAATTCAAAGTGGAAGATAATTAAGAATTGTATTCCTCGTAAAGAAAGCACTCAACAAGTCTACACAAAGGATATGAAAGAAGTTGCTAATGAGTTTAATCAGTTTTTCACCTCAGTTGGTAGGAGAGTATCAGAAGATTGCACATCTTTAATAGAATTATATAACCTGCCTGCACCTCCAACAAGTGTTTCGCTGTCTGTCGCTGAGTCACAAAATTTTAGGTTTGTTCCTGTCTCGTGTGAAGAAGTACGAAGGACAGTTATGGCATTCCATTCGAACAAAGCTCCTGGCCATGACAAAGTACGAATGTCTACAATAAAGGATGCACTTCCATGTATTCTCCCAGTTATTACTGACATGATAAATCGCTCGTTACAGACTTCAGTCTTTCCATCAGCCTGGAAAATATCAGAAGTAATACCACTTCTTAAAGAGGGAGATCACGAAGTGGCAAATAACAA